AAATTGCCTTATAACCCTTCCCAGTTTGATGGGCAGCAACAATTGCTTCTCTAAGATCATAGCTGATGTCTTTTCTTCTTGTCATTGTGTTAATACACACCTGAATGCTCCAGACCAGCAAACTGCTGAAACTTTGGCTTTTATAGAGGTGTTCACACTTACTGATGAATAATTAATATTGGCATTTGATTAACATCTCCTGTCTGCTACTTAGTCTCTAAATTCCTCGAGAAGCAGTAAGGTTGTACTTATTTTTCACACATGGCCTCTCCATTTTGACTTTATTTTTGTTAAATAAATCATTTTGTTACTATAAATATATATTGTTAAATATAGTAGTTCTAATATTTTGTCCAATTAAAGGGGGCTCATTTAACATCTACTGTACTAAAAAAATCACTAATCTTCAGTCATTTTAAAATAAACAGCATTAACATTTATAGGTGCACTGTAAGTGTGGCTCTTTATCATTCCTAATGACAATATCTTTGCATCAGTAATTTTTTATTACACTATTCCCTTAGTCACTCAGCTGCAATGTTAATTTTGATAAATGATATATGTTCTACGCACATTATTTCTCTTCCAATAGACTCTTTCAAGTGTCAGATTATAATGAGGTGACATAGCACCCCATCAGCTCTCTGTAATCCAAATGAGAAACCACGAAAATGTCATAAAATGTGAGAGACAGTAGACATGAACAGAATAACGGGAACATCAGGCTCACACAGCTATTAGTGCCTGTTACTAGATGTCCTGCATTTATAAAATACATTTTACTGTGTAATTAGCAGTGAGCATAGAAGTTTTTTTTTTTACATTTTACTTTAGTCAAGATCCCTTTCAGTAGCTAATTTTTGGCTGTATGTATTGAACATCTTTTTCAATGTATCTAAAAACATGTTCCCAAGGATTTAATTTCACTCTTGGGTTGAAAAACTGGAATGGTATTTAGGTTTTTGTTTTCCATGACAACCTCTAGTGAGTCTTATCACACTTTACAACCAACTGGCAGCAGTTCCATTCTACTCAGGGGAGGGCTGGCAGCCTTAGGCCTGGGGGGCAAAACCAGTCAAGTGGCCCATTGCACCACCAAATCAGTTCACCATCCATGCCCACTTTTTCCTGGTTTTCTAACAGATATTGATGTTATGCTAATCAGTAGCTCTTTGCCATACCCGCTCCTTCACAGCTCTGACTTTCAATGTTGTCAGAGCGCAGGCTGGGAATCTCTGAACCTGTGCTCTGATTCACTAACTGAGCGCCGGAACCACGAGGCAGAGGATATAATCTGACTGCACCTACTGCTGGTGCACACCAGTGGACCACCAGCGAATCGTTTAAATTGAATATGCTGGTGTCCCCAACTTGTGAGCTGTGTTGGCCGCCGGGCGCCTCTGTTGTCATGGCACCCTGCGTAACCGCACAGCGTGCACACCCCAACGGCTGGCCCTGCTAATACACACTGATGTTACTACTTAGAAATCCCTCGATATTAATACAGACATCAGCGTAAACACTAATAAACTGTGGAAACAGAGCTGATCCCCCCAAATTTATAAAGATTTGCTTTCTGGATTTGTTGTAAGATTAAATCATGCCTCCTCCTCTCTCTCTCCAATGTGCTGCTCTGTAGGCTGAGAGGAAGTGAAGAGTAATCACATTCTCCCAGCACAGCGCCACCTGTTGCTGCATAGGGAACAGCTGTTTAATGTAATGCTTGCAGGACGGCCAGCTGCCGCAGAACCTCTTTGTTCCCGTCTCTGCAAAGGGCTCCCGGCACTGCTTGCTGTCAGTGTGAGCCACTGTAAATTAGGGGCAGAGGGCACTTGCACTGCGGTAAAGACAGGCCTGGGCAGGAGCAGAGTGCAGTGCAATCAGTGCGCTCCCCTCCTGTGGGTCACCAGTAGACTGGTGCACCTGCCCAGGATCAGAGCCGGTGCAAGGATTTTTGCCGCCCTAAGCAAAAGAAAAATTTGCCGCCCCCCATGTGACATCGCAATGCCCCACCTATATGATCTGCCATATGAACTAATGCCACTGCTGCACACAGTGTGTGTTTACATTAAAAAGCCTGCAGGGACCGGCTATAGACACCAGAACCACTTCATTAAGCTGAAGTGGTTTTGGGAACTATAGTGTCCCTTTAATGTGAGGTAAATTATAGATTAGTGTCACTAATAATATACTAGATTGCCTACTTACAACCAGATGAGGATGATGATGGGCTGCAGTTTGGCTCCACTGGTCTGGTGTAGAACAGGATCTCCGAAGGCTGTTTGTAACTGTGGTCACAAAATTCAAAGTTCTAGTAGAATGGGAAGCAGCTCAATTTTTTGGGGGCCCCTTAAACAGTTCAAGATCTGGGCCCCAGGGTCTGACGGTGAGTATGCCCATAAGGCCCACCTAAAAGTCCACCTACATGTTCCACCCATGAGTTCGTTCACAGGGAGTGGAGTGTGTAGGGGATGTGTTATGTGTTATTGTAGAGGATCTAATGTGTGTGCTTATGGTATGTAGTGTAAAGGGATACCAGTTTGTGTAGGTGATGCAGTGTATTTGTTTGTAGTGGAAGCAGTGTGTGTTTGTGTATAAGCAATGTATTCTGTGAATCTGTGTTTGTATGCATGAGGGATGCAAGGTGTGTGTCTGTAAGTGTGTGCATTGAGTGTGTGTATGAAATGCATTGTGTTTCTGTGTATATGTAAGAGAAGAGGTGTGTGTGTTTGTATGTGTGTGTAAGGATTTGCATTGTGTGTTTCTGTGTATGTGTACAAAGGATGCATTGTCTTTGTGTGTAATGGATGCATTGTGTGTTTCTCTGTGTGTAAGGGAAGCATGTTGTGTTTCTGTGTGTGTAGGGATGCATTGTGTGTTTCTATGTATGTATAGGGATGCATTGTGTGTGTGTGCGCGCGTAGTGTGAAAGAGCTCCCTGTCCTGCCCCCTGTCCTATAGAGCTCTCCCCTGCCTCTTAGTGGTCTCTCCTCTCCCCTCCCCCTCCCGTAGCAGTCACTTCTCACACCCACCCACCCTCCCTGTGCTCTTCTCATCCCCCCCAAACCTCCGGTGTTCTTTTCTCCCCCTCCCCCCAAACCTCCGGTGTTCTTTTAACCCCCTCCCTCCCTGTGTTCTTCTCACTTCCCCCCTCCATGTGTTATCCTCGTTCCCCCCCGTTCTCCTCACCTCCCCCCATGTGTTCTACTCACTCCCCCACCCTCCTGTTCTTCTCCTCCTCCACCCTCCTGTGTTCTCTCCTCCCCCTCCCTATGTTCTCCTCATCTCCCCTCCTCCCCTCCTCCCTGTGTTCTTCTTACACTTCCCCTGTTCTTCTTAATTCCCCGTTCTTCTTAATCCCCCCTCCCTGTTCTTCTTAATCCCCCCAACCCCCTGTTCTTCTTAATCTCCCTACCCCCCTGTTCTTCTTAATCACCCCCCTGTTCTTCTTAATCCCCCACCCGTTCTTCTTAATCCCCACCCCTCCCTGTTCTTCTTAATCACCCCTCCCTGTTCTTCTTAATCCCCCACCTCCCCTGTTCTTCTTAATCCCCCCTGTTCTTCTAATCACCCCTTCTTAATCCCCACCCTTCCTGTTCTTCTTAATCACCTCCTGTTCTTCTTAATGCCCCACCCCTGTTCTTCTTAATCCCACCCCTTGTTCTTCCTTAATCCCCCCTTTCTTCTTAATTCCCCTGTTCTTCTTAATCCCCCCCACCTTCTTCTTAATCCCCTGTTCTTGTAATCCCACCCCTTCCCTTCTTCTTAATCCCCCACCCTTCCCCTTCTTTCTTACACACCATCCCCCTTCTTCTTAATCCCCTGTTCTTAATCCCCTACCCTTCTCCTTCTTCTTAATCCCCCTGTTCTTCTTAATCCCCCACCCCTTTCCCTTCTTCTTAATCCCCACCCCTCCTTCTTAATTCCCCACCCCTCCCCCACCCTTCTTAATCCCCCTGTTCTTCTTAATCCCCCCACCCCTTCCCCTTCTTCTTAATCCCCCACCCCTCCACCCTTCTTCTTAATCCCCCCTCTTTTTATTAATTCGCGCGGAACAGGAGTTTCTGTTTCCTGTAACTGGCCGGACTGACAGGAAGTGCACACTCAGTGTGCACCTTCCTATCACTCCGGCCGGGCACCGCGGCCCGGAGAGCAGCTCGGCCACGCTACAGGTGAGGGGAGGAGAGAAGATGTGCTGCAGCTGTCTGAGGCTCTTAACAGAGCGCTCAGGCAGCTGCAGCATTTAAAGGGCCGCACTGCAGCGGCTGGTCTTAAAAGGATTTGGGGCGGCCTGGGGGGCAATTGCCTCCCTGCCCCCCGACCCAGCCCGCCCCTGATTCTACTCCTATAAAACATATAGCAATGGAAAAAAAATATCATATTCTATAACCACCCCTCTACCCAGGGCCATCTTTAATATAGATTGGACCCTGGGCAAGCATTTGCTTGAGCCCCATGGTCCCTGCAACTCCCACTCCCTGGCATGCAATCACACCCTACAGCCCAACCCAACCCATTGGCGGAACAAATGTAGAGAGAGCCCCCCCCCCCATAGCACAAAAGTGGTGAAATGATAGATCCCCATCTGTCGTACAACTCCCATGATGCTATGCCAGCTGGGGATCTACCATTTGGCCATCATTGCAGGATTGCATTTGTAAGCAGTATTTGTGTGTTTGAATGTAATCCTGTTTTTTTTAAATGAGGATGTACATTAGTGTTTGAGTGAAGGGGTGTATATATTATTATTATTATTATAAGTTATTATTTATATAGCATCAGCTTATTCCGCAGTGCTTTACAATTAGAGGGGAATTTACCAAATAATACAATAACAAAATGTAACAGGAACAATAGGTAGTTGAGGACCCTACTCAAACGAGTTTACAATCTAGAGAATATAGATATATATATATATATAGAAACCACAAAGATGATGGCTGTACTCCTCGGACTTCTTAAAAATCAAAATACTTTATTATAAATCCATTAAAATGATCGACGTTTCAGCCCCAATCTGGGCTTTCCTCAGGATCAGAGAAACAAAGTATTTTTTGTTTCTCTGATCCTGAGGAAAGCCCAGATTGGGGCTGAAACGTCGATCATTTTAATAGATTTATAATAAAGTATTTAGATTTTTAAGAAGTCCGAGGAGTGCAGCCATCATCTTTGTGGTTTCTATAGCATGCTTGTCAGCTGGTTTATGCACCAGGCAATACCTAAGGAGTACGTGAGTGCAAGGACTAAATTTTATATATATATATATATATAATCTTACTATATATATATATATATATATATATATAAATATATATATATATATATATATATATATATATTCTCTAGATTTTAAGCTATATATAAATACATACATTTTGGAGTTTAAATCAGGAGTGTGTGTGTTTGTATGTATGTAATAGATGTGTTTGCATGTTTTTGATTGCTGGGATGTATGCACAAACATACTAACACAGATATACATACACATTAACACACATACACAAATATAAACACAGACAATTGCATTAGGCTTGTCAGTAAAAGCAAAAAATTTAAGAAACCAGTGTGGTACTCCGCAGATGTGGACAAAATAGTAAAAAATAAAAAGTTAGCATTTCGTAATTATAATAAAACCCAGAGTGAGGAACACAGACAGATCTATAAGATTAGGCAGAAATAGGCTAAGCAAGTAATAAGAGCCCCCAAAGCACACACAGAAGAGAAAATAGTACAGCTATAAAAAAAGGTGATAAAACATTTTTTAGATACATAAATGAGAAAAGGAAAGTAAAAAAAGGATTAGTTAGTGTTATGTTTCCTATGGATTTGGAATGGAACTCAACTGGAGAAATATAGTTAGGAGAACCCTTAGGGTTTTTAGAATAGTAATTAGAATTTAGATGGAACAATTCCTCATTAAGGAGTTTTACGAGAAGGAGGATTGCAGAGAACAGTTCTTGTAATTTGAAGGAATACAATACGAAGATAATTTGATGATAACAGTTCTTGAATCTTTACTGAACACAATATGAAGATAGTTTGAAGATAACAGTTCATGTAACCTTAATGAATACAGTATGAAGGTAGATTAATGAGAAGAGTTCATGTAGCTTAAGGAATACAATATGAAGATAGATTGATGAGATGAGTCCTGTAACCTTAAGGAATACTATATGTAGATAGTTTGATGAGAAGAGTTCCTGTAGCTTTAATGAAACAATATGACTATAGATTGATGAGAAGAGTTCCTGTAGCTTTAAGGAATACAATATGTATATGGTTTGAAGAGAAGATCTCCTGTGGCTTTAAGGAACACGACATGCAGATAGTTTGATGAGAATAGTTCCTGTAGCTTTAAGGAATACAATATGTAGAGGGCTTGATGAGAAGAGTTCCCGTAGCTTTAAGGAATACAATATGTAGAGAGTTTGAAAAAAGTTCATGTAGCTTTAAGGAATACAATATGTAGAGTGTTTGATGAGAGAGTTCCTGTAGCTTTAAGGAATACTATATATAGATAGCTTTTCCACTGATTGAACTAAGGAGGCACAGAAAATAATTAAGCAGTAAGTATTGAAGTGCCAGTAGGAGGATTAATCCAAATCTATAACTTGCCGTTACTTGGAAGGTTTTACAAAGCAGAAAGTATTCCAAAGGTAATCCAAGGTCACTAGAAGGAGGATGGAGATCCACGGTATGAACAGTCCAGGTTTGGATTATCGGAGAAGCCGATAGTTAAGTTCTGACAGTTAGATTAAAAACAAAAGAAGGAAGGTATGTAGAAGAGGATAAAGGTCTAGCTGATTGCCTCAATTAATATTTTTTGTTCAGTATTAACAGATGAAAATGAAGGAAAGGGGCCTCAGATAGGAAAAAGGACAAATTAGTCATTTTTTACATGTGAGTTTACAGAGGAAGAGATTCTATTTCAACTGTCAAAAGTAAAGACAAATAAGTCGATGGGGCCTGATGCGATACACCCAAAGTCATTAAAAGAACTTAGTGGTGTACTAGCAAAACCATTAACAGATTTATTTAACCAATCATTGTTAACAGGAGTAGTCACAGAAGATTGGAAATTAGCGTATGTTGTATTCATTCACAAGAAAGGTAGTAGGGAGGAGTTGGGCAACTATAGGCCAGTAAGCCTTACTTCAGTAGTGGGAAAAGTGATGGAAACCATGTTAAAGGATAGAATTGTTGAACATCTAAAATCACATGGATTTCAAGATCAGAGACAACATGGGTTTACTTCAGGGAGATCATGCCAAATTAATCTTATTGATTTTTTTATTGGGTAACTAAAATAATAGATCAGGGTGGTGCAGTAGACATTGACAACCTAGATTTCAGAAAGGCTTTTGACACTGTTCCACATAGAAGGCTCATCAATAAACTGCAATCTTTAAGTTTGAATTCCAATATTGTTCAATGGGTTAGGCAGTGGTTAAATGACAGGCAACAGAAGGTTGTGGTCAACACAGTATATTCAAAGCAAGGTCTAGTTCCCAGTGGGGTACCTCAGGGATCTGTACTTGGACCCATTCTCATTAATATTTTTATTAGTCATATTGCAGAAGGTCTTGATGGTAAGGTATGTCTTTTTGCTGATAATACTATAAGATATGTAACAGGGTTGATGTTCCAGGAGGGATAAGCCAAATGGCAAATGATTTAGGTAAACTAGAAAAATGGTCAGAGCTGTGGCAAATTACATTTAATGTGGATAAGGGCAAGATAATGCACCTTTGACATAAAAACCCAAGGGCAGAGCATAGGATATTTGATATCCTACTAACATCAACATCTGAAGAAAGGGATTTAGGAGTAATTATTTCAGATGTCTTAAAGGTAGGAAGACAATGTAATAGAGCTAGCAGAAATGCTAGCAGAATGCTTAGTTGTATAGGCAGAGGTATTAGCAGTAGAAAGAGAGAAGTGCACATGCCATTGTACAGAACACTGGAGAGACCTCACTTGGAGTATTGTACGCAATACTGGAGACTGTATCTTCAGAAGAATATTGATACTTTAGAGAGAGTGCAGAGAAGGGCTACTAAGCTGGTTCATGAATTGCAGGATAGAACTTACAAGGAAAGGTAAAAGGATCTTAACATGTATAGTTTGGAGGAAAGACGAGACAGAGGGTTATGATAGAAACATTTAAATACATAAAGGGAATCAACACAGTAAAGGAAGAGACTATATTTAAAAGAAGAAAAACTACCACAACAAGAGGACATAGTCTTAAATTAGAGGGGCAAAGGTTTAAAAATAATATCAGGAAGGATTACCGTATTTTTCGCTCCATAAGGCGCACTTTTTTTCCCTTCAAAAGTGAGGGGAAATGTCTGTGCGTCTTATGGAGTGAATGTGAAGCTTTACTTACCTGTCTTGTAGCGTGGGCCGGCAGCACAGCGCGCTCCCCGGTACAGGAACTTCAATTTCAGGTTCCGGTTTCCGGCGGGACTGAAAGGAAGTGCACACTCAGTGCACATTAGGTATTAAGGAATGCATGCATATTTTATGACATATCTGCACCTGAGGAAGACCTGTCATAGGTTGAAACGTGTTGTGCTTTTATTTATTATGTTATAATCCATTGTTAAATAAATACTCACTTTTTAATATCCACAAAGCAACTTTGAGTTCCTGGGAGTGTGATTGCTGAAAACACATCTGATATCTCATCAATGAGATGAAATGCACCATAAGTCCTGAGCCAACTTCTAATAGGCTCTGTGACAGACCCTCTGTCCTTGAATTTTAAAGTTTATAAATTTTGTTTGTCTACCTGTTCGAACGCAATACAGTCTGCCTTATTTTATCATTGGCCGTTCGAATAACGAAATAACTACTGAACGACCTACCTGGAGTGTGGCGCTTATTAACCACATTGACCTTCTTAACACCTCTAAAACCACAAACACCACAACATTCTAAGCGGTTGACTGGGTGGTCGGCGTTCGTGTGCACGAACATGTGGGTGCAGCCATCTTGGGATACGATTGAGGCCAGCGGTGTTTTGTCGTTGAGTGCATGGAACTAAAATCGGACACTCGACGGAACGAACACCGCTGGGACTTCCACTCCCCGTTAAGTTTGATGGGAATTGCACGAATGGAGCGCCGTTCGTTAGACACAATCTACCGAACCAACTACACTCACTGCCTCTGTGCACTAACGGCTCCACTCTAATATTTGAACATACTTCGACTGTTCAAAATAGACAGACAGCACAGCGTAATTCTCTTGAACTATTTTGGGCATGAAACCATGCATACGGTCGGTCAGCTAACTTTTGAACCCCTGAACCGATCTGGGTGATTTTTAAGTATGTTGTTCCCCCAGATCGGGGCTATCAGGGGATGTATGTTTTATGGGGTTCTCCTATGTTTTTGGAGTGTTTCTGAAAATGTGTAAAAACTTTTTTGTTTGGAGATAATTGAGTTGATACAGTAATTAACTCAATTATCTCCTAAGCATAGGGGAGGGATTGTGTATTCTGTATTGGAGTGTCTCAATGTAAAACCCTGTTTTTATTGGTTTGTTCACCTTGTGTCCCTGTGCCCAACAAGGTCCACCTGGGTGTCACCCTTGTTGGGAAACCTGCATAAAAGGCCAGTGTGCCTCCATTAAAATTCAGATCTTACTTTTATTGGGGGAATCTGCTATATAGCTATCAGTATCTTGTAAGAGCTTCTCTACTTGGATGACTACCTGGAAAGCTGTAATACCCCTCACACTCGGGAGAAGGACACCCTCTGGCGGTGGAAACCCCTCTACTCATCGGGGTAACTGCTACAGGCTTTAAAAAGTGTGAGTTTGCTGATTATCTTTACCTTTCAATATATGTTAAATACAGATTACACTATGTGCATTTGTTTTATATTTATTTGACTTCGGAAAAAAAAAATACTACCATTGTAATTACCAAAGAACCCTTGTTTTAAAGGTAAATTATTGATATCTATGTGTGCTAATCACTTTCTTTTTAGACATACATAGTGGTTAATGGATAAATGGGGTGAAATTGAATTCTTCATTAAGTCCTTTCGGTGACATGATCTGGAACTCGCGAATCCATCTGGACTCTCTTTTAA